CGACCCCGAGAGCCCGGTCACCCTTGGCGTCTCTAGCCTCCAGCGAGGCTCCCTTGTCACAAAGCAGATTGAGGATATTCATCGATCCACGAGCGGCTGCGATGTGGATGGGTCTCTGCTTATTGATCTCTGTCTGCGCCTCGATGTTCGCGGTACTGATGAGCAGTAGTCTGGCAATCTCAAGGCTGTTGGCCAAACAGGCGTAATGGAGAGGGGTGAGACCATCGAGGCATCGTGTGTCGACCGGTACACCCTTGCGCACAAGTAGCTCTATCACCGCGAAACGCGAGTTCATGGCCGCAAGGTGTAGGGCTGTTCGCCCTAATTTGTTGGTTGCTGTCAGCACGCCCTTCTTCTGACTCAAGAGATCCACAATCTCGATGTGTCCATTGAATGCGGCCCAGTGTACTGCAGTCATGGAAGCATCATCCACACAATGAGTCGATGCTTTACGCTTGAGCAGCTCCTGCGCCGCCAGACATCTCCCCATTGCTGCGGCGCAGATGAGCGGTGTCCTTCGGTCACTGCCGGGCACATTGATATTTGCTCTGTTATCCAGGAGCAGTTTCATCACCCCTAGGTGGCCTTCTTCGCACGCATAGTGCAACGCTGTCATCATCGCACCATCTCTTGCTTCTAGATCTGCACCACATGATATTAAAAGCTCTACGATTTCTTCGTCGCCTCGCTTTGCTGCAGCATGAAGCGGCGTCGTATGATTTTCCGCTCGCACGTTCACCTTGGCATGGTGGGCAATCAACAAGCGGCTGGCTTCAAGCTGGCCTCGACCAGCCGCTAGCCAAAGCGCCGTCCTGCCCTGAGCATCTCGTGCCTCGCTGTCCAATTGCTCCAGAAGAAGCAGCTGAAGTACATCACAATGGCCGCGCGAAGCCGCCAGATGGAGAGCTGTAGAACCCCAGGCATCGACAGCATCAAGTCTCGCGTTCTTCTGAATAAGCAAATTGGCCACCGCCTCGTTACCACAGTGCGCTGCCACCAATAGTGCAGTCCTGCGAGTACTCAGATGCCGTGCATCAACTCCATGTCCACTTTCTATAAGCATCTCAATGTCTGCCAACCCTCCTGACTGGGCCAGTTTCACGATCAAAGGAGCTGTAGCCCCTTCAGGAGTCGTAAGATCAATGCTCGTCTTCAAATCTTTTTCGTCAACAGCGCGTGCTACTCTCGATGCCGTAGGGCTTAAACCGGACGACCTCGAAGAGCTTGACGTTAGGCTGCTTCGACTGAATTGTCGAAAGACCGAACGTATCTTCTCGCGCTTGGACCCCAACGGAGGACGAGCACTTGATGGCGGTTTTGAATCTGATTGCGATCGTCGAACTTGACTCTGGCTGTACTGGCGCGGAGCATGTTGTAGCGTCACGCTCGTGCTGTGACCATTGCTCATAACGATCGAATCGTTGGGACGAAGGGGCAGCGAGAAGCCATCTGTTTGAGAGAAGCTGCGACTGGTAGTGGCTGCACTTGCATAGCCTTCATCTATGTCAGATTTGGATCGGAAGTGGTGGCCTGCGTAACGGATTGAGGGAGAAGAGGCAAGCACTCTGTCCAAATCAGAAGCGACGTTGCTGACGGATGGCTGGTAGAAGCTCCAACTCGAACCGTGTGCCTGGGAGCCTGCGTAGCTGGAGCTCCGAAGAGTGGCCGTATCATCCGCGACTTTTTTGATGATCTGGCGGTTCTCCGCTCTCCGGAGCAGCTCGACTTGCTCGGACGATGAGCGACTATCGCGCTGTCAGCATATAACACGCATGTTAAGTACTCAAGGCCCCGACCATTGACACGCCTGTAACAGCAATTGCAAGGCCACCACCTGCGCATGGAGTCTTTCCTGGTGACCTCGCATAACATCCTCATTCCAAACCACTTTGACACGAGCTCTGAATCCAACGATAGAGTCCTGTCCTGCAATGTTCTGGACGAGGGACGCTACCTCTTCGGACAGAACCTCCATAACCGCCCGGCAGCCATCCAACGCGACATTCAATCCTTCAATGTACTCTTCAGATTTTGTCGTACCGCGGGCATTGAATTTAGCCCAATCCTCTAGGTGAGTCAAAGCTGATTCGATAATCGATAGCTCTCCGATGAGTGACTGGATGGTGAGATCGGCATTGCTGAATCTCCCCTTTAACTTGACCAAACCTGCGGTTGTCTGGGAAATGACTTGAGCGATTTGAAGGACTCCTGAGATCGCACCGATCCAGGTGAAGGGATCCATGGCGAAGATGGCTTTTCCTGGTGTAGCTCTGAGTCCAGCATTGGTCGGTCAGATCAGTGGAAGAAGATGTAGACAGCCACCGGCTACTATATTGGAATAGATATCAGGACGTGGATTGATGATATTTTAATAGAGAACAAAATTAAAAATAGAATGACAATGGACAAGGACGAGAAGAAGGCAAGAAAGACTCGAAGTGCACAGCCAAGCTGCAACACTAAGGGAGAGTCTGCAGGCTGACAGTCACGGACAAGGCTGAAACTGACGAGGAGCAGCGGCCCTTGTAAGTTATGGGTGATCGTTTGTTTCCCCTCATCTTCAGTCCTTGAACCAGTTCCAACACTGCCACAGTCAGCAGTTGTTGCTTGCAGTCAGATCTTCCCCTATTTGATATGCCAGATCTGCATGTTGGCAAACGAATATATGCTATGCTGCTAATGAAGGGCTACACCTGATTCAGTCTGACTTCTGATATCTGTAGTGCTTAACGAGATGGTAGTCCACCATTGAATATCATCGTTCGCTGTGGTGATGCCAGAAAAGGTGCGTCAAACGTCTTTTTATGCCCGGCTTTATTCTGACTTAACCGAATTGTCCGATGCTGTTGAATACCCCAGGCCCCAAGAGGATGTTGCTCCTCTCTCAAACATGCTTTTTCTCTCTATGAATACGATATTTCGTCAGGCATGAATCTGATACAATAGGACATTCTTTGTCATGGACATCTACTGTCTGAAACGCCATCTAGTTAAACAATAATAGGATGTAGGCAAGTACGTTGGGATTATCTCAGATGAAGTTGCACTTTTTACCATAATAGGATAAGTTGAAGCTATACAAGACGCGTGCTCAACACACTATATGCTTCCTTTTAGAGGTTAAGTCGATGATATGGGCAACCAAGACAAGATTCCCTGTGGCTAGGTCTTACACTAGACAACTATGAAAGTAATATGTCAAACAATTATCCCTGGCAGAATAATCCATAACTACCGATGTCGTGATTGAGGCGATGAGTCAATATTATCAAGAGCAGTGACAGATCCGCTCTCGGAGATCACTATTGATCTCCGGCGGGGCCTGGGAACCTTCTGAGTCAACCCCGCCAACATTTAACTAGATTTGTTTCTTCGTTTTCTCAGCCCAAACTATCTTAAATCTGCTTCAATTGATCTAAAGGTCGAGGCTTGTACAGTCCAATATGCCTTCCAGACAAGAGGTCGCCTACTTTGGAGCTGGTCCTGCTCCCCTGCCCACCTCGGTCGTCGAGGCGGGCGCAAAGGCCTTCGTCAACTACAATGACTGCGGTCTCGGACTCGGCGAAATCTCGCATCGCTCTCCTACCGCAAACAAGATCCTGGAAGATACCAAGGCGAGCCTGACAACGCTCCTCGATATTCCCGATGACTACGAGATCCTGTTCATGCAGGGAGGTGGAAGTGGACAATTCAGCTCGGTCGTACAGAACCTTGTTGGAGTCTGGGTAGAACGCAGACGACAGAAAGCAGAGGCCGAGATTTCGGCTACCGAAAATAAGGATGAACTGGTCTTTGAGAAATTACAAAAGGAGGTGCAGGAGGAATTGAAGCTGGATTACATCGTCACGGGTTCATGGTCGTTGAAGGCAGCGCAGGAGGCTACCCGTCTGGTGGGTGCCAAACATGTGAACATTGCGCTGGATGCCAGAACCGCGAGCAACGGGAAGTTTGGCAAGATCCCTGCAGAGGATACCTGGACTCTCTCGCCCAGTAAAAACTCGGCGTTTGTTTACTTCTGTGACAATGAGACGGTGGACGGTGTGGAGTTCCCCAGCTTCCCGAAGATCCTGGAGTCGGACGACCGAATCGTCGTCGCAGACATGAGCTCCAACTTCCTCAGCCGAAAGGTTGATGTCAACAAGTATTCTGTGATCTTTGTACGTATTCTTCCTGTGACGAAGCTTTTCTTTTTTTTTTTTTTTTTTTTTTTTTTTTTTTCAAGTCTCCGAGCTAATGGACAGCAGGGTGGTGCCCAAAAAAACATTGGTATCGCTGGTATTTCCATCGTCATCATCAAAAAATCACTCTTGCCTCCCCAGACCCCTACACCGGCGCCGGCTCTTCTTCATCGGTTGAACATTGGCGGATTACCGGGGAGCGTCGTACTCGACTACGCGACCATCGCGAAGAATAACTCCCTGTACAACACACTCCCCATCTTCAACCTGTGGATTGCCGGCCAGGTCATGGCCGAACTCGTCCAGACTTACGGTGTGCAGAAGATCAGCGGTCAGGAACAGATCTCCAACCGCAAGGCCGAGATCCTCTACAGTGTTTTGGACAAGTATCCCCAGGTCTACCACGTCGTCCCGGACAAGAGTGTCCGGAGCCGTATGAACCTTTGTTTCCGCGTCCACGGCGGTGATGCCGAGAAGGAGAAGGAGTTCCTGGCTGGAGCTGAGAAGCGCCTGCTCCAGGGGTTGAAGGGGCACCGCAGTGTTGGCGGTATCCGGGCCAGCAATTACAATGCAGTTCCCTTGGAGAATGTTGAGAAGCTGGCGAAGTACCTCGAAGACTACGCCACTGGCAATGCTTAAACGGTCTCTCCGAGGACTATGATCTCATTTCCTAACCTGTAAAATGTCCTTTCTTGTTTGTACGGAGTTAACCTCGACTACCCAGCTTTATTCAACATAGTGCCAAGTTTATATATAATTATTTACACGGGAAGATTTAGAAGATTATATATTGTAAATGTTCATAGACGGGATGGTGGACTCTCAAAGCTTCCAAACAGCCCAATCTTGCAGGTCGAGTTCCTTGATAACTCCGTTAAGTGGACCTTGGAGTTCCATCCCCTGCGCCCACAGCTTTGGTCCTGCCATATAGCTGATGAAGCCTTCCGGTCCTGACACGAGAATCATTTTACCGCCGGGAGGCCCATTGGAGGAGGCGGAATCGGTGAATCTCGTGATGGATTTCTTCTCAATGAACGAACTCTCTTCGTCCACAAAATAGTCAACCGTAACTTGGCCCGGATATCGAGCTTTGAGAGCCTCAAGCTCGCGGACCATGAGCGACGTGGCCGCCGGATCCTGTGTCGGACCTGCTGGCGGAGGACTGCTGGGTTTTGATGACCTGAACAGACCAGAAAACCAGGATCTTTGCTGGACTTCGTCTATTGCCGAACTATCGTTGCAACCCCCCAGGCAGTCATCCCGTCTTCGATTCGCCCAGAGAATGTGAAGCCTCGGCTTGTGGTCCGCGTCTGTCCGGCGTAGGAGCGTATGTCCAGCCTGCAAAGCCGGAGCAATTCCAGTACCGCCCGCGATAAAGAGAATCTGCCGAGTATCCGAGGGGATTTCGCATTCGATTCGAGGTCCGCGCACTTCAATAGCTGATCCTACATCAAGAGAATGCAGATACCGCGATACCTCCCCGAACGGGTCTTTCCGAATGAAGAACCGGAGGCACCCTTCCTGCTCATCTTGGTCGTTTAGCGATATTGGCGGTAGGGGTGTATAGTCTCTTCCAATTTGCAATTGCGGTTGCTTGAACATAACGCTCCATACGCCGGTCTTCCATGCGTCTTCGTAGACTTCGCGATTGTCGTCGGGCTTGGGTGGTTTCAGAGTGAAGATGCTGCCGTTCGACGATACCGGCTCCCTTGCGAAAAGACGGTATTTGGTAAAGGTGACGGGATTCAGAGTTGTCGACTCTGAGCCTTGTTGCGATCTAACATAGGCTCCGATTCCTGCCGCGGTTGCAGTGACAATCGTCAGTCGAAGCCATAGTCGCTTTTTCGGCGGAGAAGGTGCGGAGGTTGTAGGTGATGAAGGCGCAGTATAACGACGAGAAGTTGCTCTCTTGCTGAGGGTAGAAGGCGGGCTGAACAAAAGTCCCCCTGACCTTGGTAGTCGGGATTTCATGAGGGTGACTCTCAACGAAAGAGCACGTATGATAGATGAGTATCGTCGAGTCTTGTGGTGGTCTTCATCGTAACAAGCTTAATTGGAGACCCTTATAGGCCTGGCGCTAAACTCAATCGGGCATCAATGAAGAACCCCTTGTCGATGATCGTCTTCATTTTCCTCATCTACCACTCTCAGCACTAGAGCAACTCCGAATCTCTTGCTGCTCTTGTATTACCATATGATATCGCTGTGGATTGGATAGACCCCGCCATTATCGTCTGTGCAACAGCCCTCCGCTTTCTGCTGGGATGGAGAGAGATTCCCGTCCTCTTGTGTTGACGACCCGTTTGAATAGCCACAATTGATACATGAATGCCTTTACAACTACTGGCTCAAAGAAATGTCCCATATCACCTTTTCGCAAACGGACACCAGATCGGACAACCTCCATGCCCCTCGTGATTCTCTAGAACTTGCATCACTAGCGTCTTCCTCCCCGGAATCTGCGGGCAGGTCCTCGGCCTCATCCTCGCCCTCGGGCATTTCCTCCTCACGCAAGCTCTCCCTCGAGGACGAGGATCCCCTATCGGACGCACATTTGCACGCAAATCTTGAGTCCGGGCGAGCGAGGCCGGCCCGATCGTACTCCATCTCTTCTGCCTTCGATTTCGGCAATGCCCTCTTCCCACTATCGCAAACCGCCGGGGGTTATGCTCCCTTAGGGGCTCCCTCCGCACTTGACCGACAAGCGGGGACCGACGGCTCGTTAGAACGAAATAAAACATTGACGTATTTGAACGGTCTGTCACTGGTGGTTGGGATCATCATCGGATCTGGGATCTTTTCGTCGCCGAGTCAGGTCAATGCCAATGCGGGGTCTCCCGGCGCGTCTCTGATCGCGTGGGCTGTCGCAGGGTTGCTGGCATGGACCGGGGCGGCCAGCTATGCAGAATTGGGTGGCGCTATCCCTCTCAATGGCGGGGCTCAGGTCTATCTCTCCAAGATTTTCGGGGAACTGGTTGGGTTTCTCTTCACATGGTGCGCTGTTCTGGTGCTGAAGCCAGGGAGCGCCGCCATCATCGCGATCATCTTCGGCGAGTATGTCGTTCGAGCAGTGATACATGCAGACGCCGAGACGGTCAGTCCTTGGATCAGTAAGGGAGTCGCATTCGGGGGCGTGTTTATGGTGACCATGCTAAACTGCATATCGACCCGACTGGCTGCGCGCATAGGGGATTTTTTCATGTTCTTCAAGTTCATTGCATTATTAGGAGTTACCGTCATAGGTATTGTCGTTGCTGTGACTGGGTTCTCTTCGACCGGGAGCGCCAGTAAGGAGTGGAAAGAAGGTTGGTTCAAGGGAACGAGTACGGACATCTCCGGCTGGGCCGTTGCCATATACGCGGGTCTCTGGGCTTTTGATGGCTGGGACAACGTAGGCTTCTCCCATCCTGCATTCTCTCCCCGTGCCATTTACTGATCGTACTCGCAGACAAACTATGTGACCGGCGAGTTCAAAAATCCTAGCCGGGATCTTCCCCGAGTGATCCACACGGCGATGCCGCTGGTGATCTTATCTTACCTGCTTGCCAACGTTTCGTATTTCCTTGTGCTGCCTCATTCCACCATAGAGGCGAGCAATACCATTGCTGTCCAATTCGGCGACAAGGTGTTTGGCTCCGTGGGGGCGCTTGTTTTCGCCCTGGTGGTGTCTGCGAGCTGTTTTGGGGCGCTCAACGCAACGGTCTTCACCAGTGGTCGGCTGGTCTACGCTGCTGGCAAGGAGGGCTACCTGCCCTCGATGTTCGGCAATCTCTGGAGTGGTAGGTCCAGCACCATGGGAAGCAATCGATTGCAGCGCCGCTCGTGGGCTAGCAAGGCGCTGGCCCGGATTTTCGGAGAAAACACCAGCTTCGGGTATACACCGATTAACGCCATGGCATTAAACAGCGCCTTGACATTGGTATATATCATTGGCGGCGAGTTCAAAACGCTGGTTACATTCTACGGCGTCGCAGGGTACACCTTCTATTTCCTCACGGTGCTAGGCCTGATTGTCCTCCGAATCCGAGAACCGTACCTGGCGCGCCCCTACAAGACCTGGATCTCAACACCAATCATCTTCTGCTGCGTTAGCCTCTTTCTTTTGAGTCGCGCAGTCATCGCCGAGCCACTGCAGACGCTGATCGTCGTGGCCTTCATCATCGCTGGCGTCCCAGTCTACTTCTTTCGCATCTATCAGCGTGACGGGAAGATTACGTTTCCCGGATGGAAGTTTTGGCAAGCCAGTCGACGTCGGTAATGCAATGAAATGCGCCGACCTAACCCAGCCTCTAGGCGTATAATGAACATTCCCTTCTATGAGACGAGTGACGCCCATGCGCATAGCTTGCATGTATGACTAGAATCTGCAGCATTATTTGCTCGCATCTGGACGATCGAGCGATTGATTGGCGATTAGCGTGATCAGAACGCGGGTATCATGTTTAGTTCATTTCGACCCCTGTCTTCCTAGTTACGAGTTTGCTCCCGCGTCTATGTGGGCTTGTCATGAGATACAACGCTAGTCTAGAGATCTATCTAATGCTTAATTTCATCACGAATCACACTCAGTCCATCCCAAATATCTGCTCTCACCAGCACAGCAGCAGGAGCAGATGTTGATGGTTTCGGCGGGCTTTCGGTTGCCGAGGCGAAGAATTTCAACCCCGTGCAGACCTGCGCGTGGGGTGTATAGATGCGTGTGGAGATGACTGTTCTGCTATTCACGGACACTTCTAGCACACTTGCATCGAAATAGGCGTGGATCTGAAGCGGTTCCGTCACCTCCTCGCCTTTATTGTTGCAGAAGGTGAAGAGAGTATGCGGAGCGGTCTCGGGGACATGGTTGATACCGGCATCGTGAAGCGAAGGCCTTTCGATTGTGAACGTCTCGTCGTATGGTTTCCATGATAGGGTGGTGCGCTGGTGGAAATCTTCCTCGTGCGTCAGCAATTGTTGCAATTTTGGGGGAAAGAAGAAGCGTGAGTGCTCACCAGGGCTATGGCCGATTTCCAATCCTACTGCCGCGCAGTGCTTCCCAATCACGAAGGTTGCGTTCAATTCCCACCTAGCAGTGCGCAAGGGCAAGAATGCAGGGGGCTGATGGGCCACAGAACCCAGTTGTACTTTGGATAAATGCAGCTCTCGTGCTGATGTTCGAAGTATGTTGAGCCTGGGGTCCGGCCGGATACTCAATGTTCGCACCCGTGTACCTTGCGAATGGCGCTCTGTTTCGATAGACGTAATGGATTCCAGCTTCGACTGGTGGGCTCGCTTGACATGGTGAAGAGTCACCAGCCTTACTAGTCGCGGTAGAGACATGACGCCACTCCAGCCTTGTCGATGGCGCAGACGATCCGGTAAATCCTCTTCTGTAATCCAGCAGTATACGACGTACTCCTCCGTGACCGGATCCCAGAAAGAGTTTGCGGCGTAGCAGCACCCGTGATCGAAGATCCCCGAGAATGAATATTCTGCGAGAGGCTCGCAACTGCTTTGCGCCTGCAGTCTGGGTCGGACATTAATACACATCCAGAGCAGGGAGCGCGGTACTCTCTTTGATCCAACCTCGCAAGACAAGCATCCCTCTGCGCCGAAGATCACAAAATCTCGGGAGACGCCGCCATCTGTCAACGTAAAGCAGTTGGCAACTTCCCAGTTGACGCCGAGATCCCCCGACCATCGAGAGGGTCGATAATTTAAGCCAACATGAAGCAAAGGCCCGATATATGTCCACTCAGTCAAATTGTCGGGATTGACGACATATACAAAGACTGTTGGGGACTCTTTAGCAATGCCCCCGGAGATAAATCCATACAGGTTCGGGGAGGCCACTCCATCTTGTCGCTGGGCCCGCAACGAGGGCCAGCAGTTCAGATAAGGGTCTCTCCAGCCTGTCACCTCGAGTCCTGCAGGGGCGCCGGGGTGAATCGGATTACTGTCGAATCGTTGCCATGTCGTGCCATGGTCATGGGAGACTGCTATACTGAGCGATTCACTGCCCTTGACATACGGCAGAGTATAGTGGAGTGGAAGGTGATTTACGGACGTGTATACATACGTAAGTACACCTGGCTTGCCATCCGGACCGTGAGGACGGAAGCAGCCAGTGAACACGCCGCATCGATCATACTCCGCAGACGGCGTGAGACATGGCTCGGGCGATATTTGCCAGGACACTAGATCGTTCGAAGTGGCATGGCCCCAGGAGATGTTGCCCCAGTCATTCCCGTGCGGGTTCCATTGGAAGGACAGATGGTACAGTTCAGTCGTCGGGTCATATCCAAGCCCACAGGGGTCATTCATCCACCCCCGGGGCGCAGCAAGGTGGTATGACGGTCGCCATTTAGGGTTCACATGAGCTATACCCGTCGTTTGCGGGATAGTCTCGGCTTTCTGTTCTGGATCGCAACGAACAGGGTGTATTGGAGTTCCACTGTTGCCCAACTCTGCCGCATGTTGGGATCCTGGAAGGATATGCATATTGCCCGGATTTATAAGATGCTCGCTCTGCAGATCCAGCACAAAGCTGGCCTTAGAGAAACCACGTTGTTCGGAACAGAGTTTGACTTTGAGACAGTGTGTAAATAGGACTCGCTGATGCTGTCTCAGTCATTAGAGTAGCTGCCATTGCATTACAGAACTGTCAATCCTCTTTTGGGACAAGGCAGAGGGAATCTCATCCTTTTTATTCAATACGCACGCATGAGAGATCGAGATCGATGTCCGTAGTTGATAATTGAAGCTTCGACGATGATAAGGGATCATTGACTGCAGAATGCCAGTGGACGACGGGATCATCTCGGAAGGATGCGGAGAGTTGTCGGAGAAATCCTCCTATAGCAAACTACTACGGAGTATACTATCCTCTGTCCTTCAGCTCATTGCTGTATCTGGCAATATCAAGGAAAATCATGTAGCCAGTGCATCGAGGAGAAGCAAGAGCTCTATACAGACAGGTCTAGAGTGAGACCTGAGCTCAGAGATTTAGATGAAATCAACAGCTCATCCAATGACCGAGTGCTCCAGCAGGCACCAACATTCAGGACTGAGGAGGGTCAGGAGCAAATCAATTCCAGCCATTCTGAAAGCTCGGCCGTGTTAAGCTCTCTCGATTCATGTCAAGCCTTCAAATAATGAGACTGTAATATACGTCCCGCGGAGACAGACCTGGTCTCCCGTTTCTGTCGGCTCTCGATTTGCGGCATCCGCCTACGATGTGCAGAACACCGAATTTACCCGAGCATCATGAACGAAGCCCGGAAAGTCGTGCAAAGTGCAAATCTCGTGGAGGACTAGGCTGTCAATTGAGCCGAACAGAGCGCGTGGAAAGGTAGAGCCGCATTGAGTATCCGACACTGCAGCGAATGTTTTGGGGCTCAAGGCGCACTTGGTATGGAGAGGCTCGCAGCACGATTGCTTTGGTATCATCATGTTGAGTATTTTGTCATGCCTGAGAAAAAGAATAAGTCAGAAGTTACCCTGGATGTTCCAGATGGGAGTCCCGGGTTTGAGCTGGGGTCCTGTCAACCCGTTTGAAGGTCACTGGAGGTGAATCCCGGGCGAAGATGTTGCTCAAATTACGTTGATCAACCAGCGCAGGCACGGCATGAGTATGTTATCTGTTCCCAAGATGCTGTACATCTCCCGGACAATTCTGCTATGGATATGAGTGTGTAGAATACATGAAATAATCTCCCGTAAAGAGTCCGACCTGAACCTAGGAAAAATACAGTATCAAAGACGTGCAAGCTCATGAAGTTGGTTTCAGGAGGACCGAGGTCGGCTCAGCTATTATATACAAATGTCATGTCTGCGCCCAGTTGCTGCACCCAACCCCGACGATGTGCAAAGAACTCAGGTAAGCCTTGAATTTTTCCAGAAAGGGGTGATTGCCCCCGCGGAGCGTATTCAACAGCAACATGAAATCCTCGACCAACGACTGAGTAGAATGCACGGCTGCTGTGTTTGGAGACATCGCTCCCACGAGGCCTCCAGGAGGGAGGACGCCTGGTCCTGCCATGGAGCCAGCCACCGAGGCTGGAGAATGCTCACCAAGAGGCTGGCGGACATTGGAAGAGATTCCAATTGCACTAACTGCAATGTCGTACAGCTTCTCAACCTGCGCGCACACGTGAGTAACGCGAAAATCAAAATAGTTTTCTGTCCGGATGGACTGCACTCACTAGGCCAATTCCATGCGCTTCCATCGAGCTAAGCCGCAATGACTGGCATATCTTCAAGGTGTCCACAGCAACCGTGATGGCGTATTCGAAAGACAGCTCTTGGTGTTCTGAAACAGGTCTCAGGAGACCGTGAGTGGAGCACAGCACCCACACCCGATTCTGCAGCCATTTCTTCGTGATAAACACATCGGCGCACTGGGTCTCCCGCATACTGATTGTCGGTTGGACGCTCTGGGCCTGACCCGGGACTGACTTGGTGCGTTCAAACCAGCCATAGCCCTTATATCGCTCGGACTCGCAGACTCTGCTGAGATTTTGATGGATGGACAAGGCCTTCTCCTCGGTGAGATTATCACAATAGCCTGAATTGACGTTGCAGCGCTGATTCCAACAATCAATCACCTCTTCGTCGATAGCATCGAACAACTCCATTAAACGGGCCAGACCCAGCATTCCCTCGGCATCTTTTTCGTTATGAACTATGATACCGGAAACAACGCTGTGTGTTGCATTGTGGATAAAATCATGGACAGAACGCATGGTGAACCCCGGTCTTCCCCAAAAGGTGATGGGATGTCGCCGTTGCAGTGCATAGGCTCTTTCGAGGATTTTTGTTAGCATATATCGGTTTGGCACATCTAGCCGGTTGAATCCCATACCTCTCTGTGATAGACAAGACCAGATAGGTCCGTAATCGTTGGCCTTTTTCGTCGTTCGGTATATCCCGATATGAGTCAGGGTTGTTCAAGCCCAGTGTCGCTGCAAGGTCTAGAGCCTCCCGGAGTCGGAGCCACGCAGCATTGTGTTGGTTGCTGCCGAAAAGACATCCAAACAGGAAAAAGCTGGTGAGAACAGCCTCGATGGTTGGATGTTCCCCAAAGTCAGAGCAGCTCCGCATTTTCGTCGCCTCGTTCATCATCGATCTGGCCTGGCTGGCTCGGGACGAGGAAGTGGGCCGTTCGTCAATCTCGATAGGTTGCGTCAGGGAGAAGGCGCATAAAGATAGTAGCATGGCACCGAACTGCGGGTTTCTACGATGCTCTTGAGCCAGCATGCGAATGAACAACGAGGACCTGTTCAATACAGGCAGGGTCGGGTGCAGGCGGTCAAAGTAGACTTCAATCCACGGAATCATGTTGGCCTCGACGATTGATGACGGCCATGTCGTTCTCATCGGAACGGGCCCGGTTGGCATGACTCCCATAGTAGAAAGAGCCAAGTTTGAAGCGTCCACATGATGAGGCTGCAATCCAGCTGCTTCCTGCTCCGGTTGAATGATCGACGGCAGCGATGCCTTTAGGTAGATATTGCTTCCCGGAAACTCGAATACAGGCACCTGCGCATCTAAATTGTCGGGGAGCCAATACTCAACATCGTTGCGCTCATTCCAACTGATGGCAGAGTTAGTCTGAGAATCTACCGATGAGGTATCTGTAGCAGGCCACGACGGCCCGATCGAGGTGTTTGGACGCGGCGGTACTATGTCCGTCGACACTGAGGCCTCCCCACGCTGAGGGATAGGCCACTGGGTGGGATCTTGCACCGATGGGGCGATCCCATGCTGCCCCGTCTCCTGAGGGGGAATCGGCCTCTGGTACGGATAGGCGTCTGAAAGAGACGACTGAGAACTCTTACGTAACAGCTGAGTCTGTTGTTGCTGACGAATTTGGGACACACGACTGTTTGGCGAGCATCAAAATAGTGCGCAGATGGTTAGAGATGGACGGATTCTCAAATCGAACATCCGAGCATAAATAACCACGCAATTGGTTCAAAAACTCACTTGCCAGTTGGCCCCCGCTTTTTCTGGGGCTGTAAGAAGAGGCATTCAAACCCCATCTTACTACACGCGCGACATGGTTGCGAGAGACTGCACTGTATAATCCTATGCAGATTAGCATAACAGCCTCCTCGTCGGTAGGAGTTACTCCTTATGGAATAATGATCATCAGGAACGAGACCAGAGGGGGAAATGAGGGGGGTTCAGTTCAACTTGCTCTTATCTTGCGCAGTCGGCAGTTATCACAAGCTCTTCGGACCGACGTTTTCTTCACGGCATTGGTAGGACTCGGGTTCATGGTGGCATATTTGTGAGTGGAGTTTTTTTGGTGCGGAGTGGAGAGAATAATGGGGGGGAGAGCAAAAAGGGCAGTCCGTACAACTGAAAGCAAGGGCAGGTAGTTATGAGGAATTATGCTGAGCTCAACGGGATAGATGATTAATGATTGATTATGAGTTCAAAGCAGAGATAGATGGTCCAGATGGGGTTTATTTGAATATGGGAATGAAGAGAAGGTAAAGAAAGGGTAGAGCGGGTCGTCCGGGGAGGCTGTGAGCTACTGAGCACCGTGTGGTACGGAGTAGTTAGGTACACATTCTCTTAGGTTGAATACTACTCACTGTTCCCACTGTTCCCCGTCTGCCATCTGATGATCCGATCGAGCTGTGATCCAGTCCAGACTTTTATGATTAGTCTATCCACGGGGTTGAGGGACTTGAGGGGAGGGGAAAGGGAGTTTGGGTTGACCGTTTGAATGTTCAGTGGATTCGTCTCAGGGACTAGACCAAGGTAGTAAAGTAGTTAGCTTCAAAGGTTGATTTAGTAGTAGTTTCGTCCCTGGGCTCTTTTTTTGCTTCTTCGTCTGGTTCTTCTCTTCCAATGGTTTGGGCAGCAGAGGCCATCGAATCATGGAATTATTTCCATTGTCGTAATTATTGTCATTCTTACTGCAAGGTTAAATTCTTATCATCACTAGGAGTGAAGCTTAGATACCGGGATACCTCTTAAGGTGCAAGCTGGTGGATTCCGGAGTTATTAAGATGACACACTAAATATTATTCTTCCAGATCCATCATCATCATCATCACCATGATCATCGGCGTCATCGTCATACACCAGAATCAAAAATGTTGATCATTGAAAATTAATGGATCAAAATCCCTGTTGACGGATTCATCTGTCTTACAACGACATACTCCAAACGTCTCCGAACTCTCCAATCTCGGCAGTTAACCCACCCTCGAAATGCCTATTTTCCCCGCGTCTGACCTAGAGCCAGCGGGATCTCCACGAGGCTGTCAGTGCCATTCCCAATCACGATCAGAATTTAGAAGTTAGAATTTAGGATTTAGAATTTAGATACAGACTGATAACCGACAGGACATGTCACGGTGACAGCTACCTTAGTTAAGTACGGGGTTTGAAACATGCACTCCGCTATCAATCCTTCTAGCCCCAGCATTTCAATTCCGGATAACAGCGCTAGATCCAACACAAGATGGGCAGCGTCCAGACCT